TCTGCCTTGATGTCTGCCCATCTCCTCGTGGTTCCTTCTTGGTCTTATCAGTGTACTTGTTTCAGAAAGATCTGACAGATTCAGGAAGTCTCTCTCTCTTGTCCAAAAGGGAATTCTCTTGTCCAACTCTCTGGTCCAGAAGGGAAGTCGGGGGCAGGATGGGAGCTGGGGGCCGGTCTCTAAGTCTCAGGAAGTGGCTGGGGTCTTGGGCAGATGGGTGTGGCAGCACGGCACGGGGATTGCAGGGGCTGCCGGGGGGCTTGGAGAAGGGGATCCCTCCCGGTGGGGCTAGAAGGGGACCCGCCCGGTGGCCAGAGCCTGTGGCCAAGTTGGGCAGGATTTCCCAGAGTGGCTGGTGTCCAGGGATGGGGTCCGGGTTGGAGCCCGATACTCACCTCTGGTCCAGAAGGGAAGTTGGGGGCAGGATCTTATGATTTTTCTTAAATCACATGATCACTTGGGGTTGTAATTGTTTTCATAGACTCACTCTATGATAGATGGTTCCTCACCAGCACAGCACAGTTATCAACTCCTGTTCCAGATCCTATGTTTACACAGACAAGTGTGTCCTAATGCAGCCTTCTTGACCGGCATGAAGAGTCTGCTTTCCAACCAAGGGCTCCCTTCTTTCTGGTCAATACCTGGAAACATCATGTCTTCTCAGCAAGAATTAACAAGAACTCCATTTGCACACAGTCTGGTGCCATCGAGTGTTAATCTCTGAGAAAGGGCAATGGAGGACAAGTTGAGGGAAATTGGTTATTCTTTAAAATTAAGCCTGTCTCCTTTAAGAAAGGATGGTCATTTCTCACACCAACTAGCAGATTCCAACTGATAAAATCTGCTAACAGGCAGGAAGCAGAGGCAACAGATACTGTTCAAGGAACACTTGCTTAGGACCAATCATGAAGGAGAGGGACTATGAAGGTGGCAATTCCTATCAAAATGATCTGACCTCAGCTTCAGAGCAGATTCCCAGCTAGAGTGCACCTCCCATTGCCTTGTGCACTAGTTCACAACCTGTGGTTTGAGACCCCTTTGACAACCCTCTATCTCCAAAATATTGACAATACAATTCTTTAAATTAACAATATTACAGTGATGAAGTAGCCATAAAAAATGGTTAGGGGTAACTACAACAGGAGGAACTCTATTAGAGGGGTGCAGCATTAGAAAGGTTGAGAACCTCTAGTCTAGAGGATTATTGTTTGACGGTTTTAATCAAATTTGTGGGGTTTTGCTTCTGTTTCTTTCCCTATGCCCAGAGACTATCTGTTTCTCTGTCAATTTGCAACTGTTAGGGACTCTCACAATTGTTCACTCCTGTGGGGAGTTGTTTTTGTGTCTTTCTCAGATCCATACCTTTTACTTTCTATCAGAAGCCTTCACATCTCTGTCAATGTCACTTTTGGCAGGCAGCTCTTGCATGCCTTTCCTATGTCAGTTCTGGAATCGCCCTGCTCTGTCTAGTACCCTTCTCTACTCAATTGTTATTTCCCTTTCCCATCTCTGAGTTTTCTTTCCAGGACCTAAGTTCTTAACCCTAATGAAACTGGATGTTACCTTCAAGCTTTGACCCCTCACTCAAGACCCATATAACACACCTAAAAGTTGTCTCTTGACCTCCTCCATATGTCTGCAGTTGTACCTGGTCTCATGTTAGAAAATAACACATAAACACTCCAAACACTTGCACACAAGTAAATGAATGTAATAATGTAATACTATGAAGTGAAATTGGCAAGAAGTGGGCTTAAGACGCTTAATACTGAATGATGAAAAGACAAGAGCTAGAGTCAAGAAGAGGATAAGAGCTTCTGGTTAATGTTAAAGATTTTCTAGATTTGGTGTGAGAAGATCAGCCCTAAATGTAGATGGCATCATTCCATGGACTATGAATCCAGACTGCATATAAAGAAGAATGCTGAGCACCAGCAGTCATTGCTCGCTGCTTCCTAACTGCTGATATACTACTTAGTATAAGCAACTTCGTGTTCTTATGCTCATGACTTCTTGGGCATGATGGCATGTTCCCTCACACTGACAGCCAAAATAAACCTGTCCTTCCTGAGTTACTTATGTCAGGACTTTTGTCCCAGAGATGAGTCAAGTATCTAACTAACATGGTGGATCTTGGTTATGAGGGTGGAAGAGCAAGATACACTGAAAGAAAAATATCCATGTGAAATAATACATGTAGAAGCTGCCCATATGGAAGAATTGGAGCTGAAGTTCCCAGGAAGCAAGTCAGGGCTCTAATAAAGATCCTCCAATGGACACTGATGACTAGAACTTCATGATTGTTGACACTTGATATGGAAAGACCAGATTTTCTCTAAGTATCACAAGGCTCTAGAAAACATCCAAAATCTTTGTTCAAAATCTTCCTAAAATATTCAATGTCTCATAAATATGGGTTTGTGTAAAATTAAAAAAAAAATGAACGCAAGTTGAATACTTTCTTTTCCCAAGTGGAGGGCATTAGGATACAGTTACAATTAAATCAAAGCAAAACAAATAGCTGAATGCCCTGCATCTGGTATTCATCCAGGAACTTCTGGGCTCCAAAGGACCTAGTAAGTTCCTGTTCTCCAGATTTGCAATCCATAGCATGTACCTTAAACCTCATAGGCTCAGGCTGGCTCTACTGCACACCTGTTTTTGTATTTGGTGGTCATACCATGGTAGTGGCATGTCCACTAATTTGAGGTCTCCAATGCAAGTGGGCTGCACTTTTACTAATAGCCTCTCCTGTGCCCTTTTCAGAGACTTTCACGCTGCCAGATTGTGCCTGGATTGCAATCTTCTTGACACCCATTTAATCCTGGAGTTTGTACCTCCATTAAGGCTGCACATTCAACAAAGGATTCTTATGCTCCTCACAGTCCTAAGCCTCTGATGCTTTACATGTCCCCTTCATGCTTTCAAAGCCAGTACATTCTAGGAGGATATTATATATTTTTAGGTTTGTTTGTCAGCACAAGATATAGTATTGCCCCCCTCTTGAACATAGCACATGTGTGATTATCCTCAGAAAACACTTCCCAGGAGATTTTCCTTCAGACATGGTGATCTCTTTCAATTACAGGTGATTACTCAGCCCCAGCCAAGTAGAAACAGAATGCTAACTCAAAAATTGTTCAAATTGTCCTGTTAGAATCTTTCCTTCCTGGCTAAACTTCAAAGGCCAGGCCTCCATTATCTGTGTTGCTCTTACCATGATTATCTTCCAAGATTCCATAAAACAGCACACTGAACTCTTAGCATTGAACACATTTTCAGCATCAAATTCAAAGGTCACCATAGTCTTCCCAAATAGAAACAGTGTGTTCTTCCTCAGCAACACAGTGTTCTGGTACCATTTTCTGTCTTTGTTTGGATGTCAATTGCTGTAATAATATAAAACCATAAGCAAAAGAAACTTTGAGATTACAGGATTTGTTTGATATTACATGTCTGGCTAACAGTCTATCACTGTTGGAAATCTGAGCAGGAACTCAAGAAGGGCAGAAACGTAGAGGAAGCAGCAGAAACAGAAGCCATGGACTAAAGCTGCTACTGGATTGTGTCTCATGGCTTGCTTATCCTGCTGCATTATACACACCAGGACCACCTGCCAAGGGGTAATATTATGCACGATGATTTGAACACTTCTCTATCCATCCTTACTTAAGGTAATGCCCCACAGTCTTCCTTACAGTTCAGTCTTATGGAGCCACTTTCTCATTTGTTAGTCACTCTCTCCAGGGAGCAGCCATACAAACAGAGGCTAAAGTAGTGAAGAATACAGAAAGTGTATGTGAACCCTCTAATGGCCTCTTCCTCAAAGGGGGCACACTATTGTTATGGGTTTTTTTGGAGGAGTAGTAGTCAGAAGCTACCACCGAAGTTGTTTCATGAGACAGACAAAATGCTGTACATATTGGAACAAGACACACTCAGACAGGTATTGGCTGACATGGCCGTTGACAGGCAAAGTTGAAGATATGAGGTTAAGAATGGGAATACAACAGCCGCAGGAGAGAGAATAGGGACATCCTAAGGCTCTCTGACACAACATGACAGTGGAAGATCCTAAGGGCAGCTGAGAGTGAAAGTAAATGACAGATTGATATAGGAGCAAAGAAGCAGTAATCACAGAGATAAACTACAAAAGCAAGGACTTTATAAGAACAGACAAACAGTTGCCATCAAGGGGATGGAACAGCACCCCAGAGGTTGAAGACTGCCCTAGGGCTCTGGATAAGACTTTTTACAGGTTCTCCAGGCTCTTACCCTCAGGAAGTCATCTCCTCCATGATTGGTTCTTCCCCAGGAAGGACAAAGAGGCTGTTTTCCCCATTTGTTATCCACTAGCACTTTCTGAGTGTGACAGCCTCCTGTGGAAGGGGAACAACATCAAGGGCATTCAACAGCCCTTATTAATGGGATCTTTCTCCTTTTCTAACCATCACAAGTTTTCCTGAACCCTCTCATCACATCCCTGTTAGAGATGAAGATTGTCATTATGGGAGTGATGCTTTTCTAGGTATTTCCTCCCTATAGGAGATGAAGTTTTAAGAATGGACCAGAGAAAGGAAGGCCGTCCAAGGATAGTTA